TTTTTTTTGTAAATATTTTCTTCACCCTCATTGCGGATTTTTTAAATATACACAAAATGCTTGACAGTATTGCAATTAAATTATGACAGCCTATTGTAACACTGATATATTATGTGAAATTCAGTGACCTCTCAAAACATTAAGAAACGTTTATTTTTATACTGAACAATTAAAATATAGTATTAAGAAACGTTTACTTTTATACTGAAAAATGTCAGCTTTAATGGCTTTTTCAGCCATTAAATTATTTTGATATTTAAGCTCGTCCTCTTGTAAACTAAAGTAGCAGCACTTATTTTGTCTAAATTACCACTCATAAGGACACAGAAATCTAGATTGAGAATCATTCTGTAAAAAAAAAAAAAACTGTCATAAACTCGTCATGGCATACGTAACGGACATGAACTTTTCACTTTTAACTGACGTGAATTTTTCACTTTTAGCTGACATGAATTTTTCACTTTTAACTGACGTGAATTTTTCACTTTTAGCTGACGATTTTTTTCACTTTTAACTGACATGAACTTTTCACTTTTACTAAGAAGAATGTTTCACTTTTAACTGACATGAATTTTTCACTTTAACTGACATGAATTTTTCACTGTTAACTGACATGAACTTTTCACTTTTAACTGACATGAACTCTTCACTGTTAACTGACATGAACTTTTTCATTTTAACTGACATGAACTTCTCTCTTTTAACTGACATGAATTTTTCACTTTTAACTGACATGAATTTTCTCTTTTAACTGACATGAATTTTTCACTTTTAACTGACATGAATTTTCACTTTTAACTGACATGATTTTTCACTTTTAACTGACATGAACTTTTCACTCTTTGACATGAGCTTTTCCCTTTTAACTGACATGAACTTTTCACCTTTATCAACAGAATCAAAACCCGCTTTACAAAGAGGCCACGACAACTGTTCAGAATCCTATGTTTGGGACGAACTGAAGATTTCCAAGAGTACCTGATGAACAGACCTGCCAAGAACATAAGCGAGCTATTTTGATATTTCCTAATGTTTCTTTCATTTTCTCTTTCGCGCTCGCTCTCTCTCTTCTCCTTTTATCCTCTCTCTCTGTTCTTTCTTTCTTTCTTTCTCTCTCTCTCTCTCTCTCTCTTCGTTCTCGCTCTCTCTCTCTTCTCTCTGTCTCTCTCTCTCTCTCTCTCTCTCTCTCTCTCTCTCTCTCTCTCTCTCTCTCTCTCTCTCTCTCTCTCTCTCTCTCTCTCTCTCTCTCTCTCTCTCTCTCTCTCTCTCTCACCTTTTTTCTCCTCTTTCTATGTTTCAAGTCTCATAATTTCATAAGAGAAATTCTGCGTACGCAATTGTTTATTCTAACGTATATTATTATCATTGCTATTATTATTATTATTGTTATTATTATCATCATCATCATTATTGTTATTATCATTATTATTGTTATTATCATTGTTATTATTATTATTATTATTATTATTATCATTATTATCATCATTATTATTATCATTATTAATATTATTATTATCATTATCATCTGTGTTCATTATCTAAATTATACAAACGTAATCATACATTCGCCACAAGCCTTCTGCCCCGTATGTGTGATTGCCAGCTTTTGTTTCTCGTTATATAATCGCGTAAGTCAGAACTCTGTGATTGATTCAGTGTGTTCAGTATACGATAAGGAGCAAACATGTTGCATTTTTATTACAATATCTCCGGCGGGGATTTAATGTTAAGTATGATATTATGCATTCAGCTTTTTTTCCCCTCACTATTCAGCTTTTTTTCCCTCACTATTCAGCTTTTTTTCCTCACTATTCAGCTTTTTTTCCCTCACTATCATCATTTTCCTCAAAGCCAAGATACGACTATTTGATTCGAAGATTTTTGGAATGCAGTAATGAAATCTCTTCATATTTTTTCCGTGTGAATATGTTGTTTTTTTGTTATTTCTCCCGATACCATTAATATAAGTGGTTGCTATGTATTAATCTTTGTCCAACTATGAGTTCGTTTGGTACCGTTTCAATGACTGCTTTTCTGTAGATTTATTATATAACTGCAATTTCTTTTTGTACATTTCTTGGGCAAGCGTTCGTAAGTAGGGAAAGTCTAATATTTCTGACGGAACTGTTCAAACATCATTTGCATACTTCGGGAAGGCTGGTGGGATGCAGGAACAGCTGGCAAAAAACGGGCGTAACATTCCTCCCCACCCCTTCCTCACAATAAAAACAGCTGGAAAGAAAGTGATAAACAGAGTGATTAATCCAATGACAAAATGTTCAAGGTTCATTTTCAAAGCTTATTCCCTGATATTTCTAAATTGATACTTTATCAGTTTTATTGGACTCTCCTCAAGGCTCAATTTCAGTCGAATTTTTCACATTTTCAGATATTGCCTGTTCAATAATTTAATGATATGTGATTTAAATAAACGTGTTAAATTGTCAGTTGGCTTTGATTTCCCTTTTCACTCAAAAGTACTAGATTCCTTTGACTTCAGGGTCTGAAGAGAGAAAGATATCCAAAATAAAATCTAGGAAAGCATTGGTACACACGGTATAACTACTGTCTTTATATTTATTACATTATATCCAATATATATAAACATAAATTACTTCTTCTTGCGTTTAATACCATGCACTCGTATACACACAAAAATACATGATATCTTCACATGATACCTTCACGACTGGCGCGTTGTTCCATTAGGCAATGCGACTTTTACCTTGATTGCCCATTGTAAAAGCCAGCTGGGGGGCAAGCCAGCCTTTGTGAGTGCCGGTCCCAAGCCCGGGATAAACAGAATGGGCTGGGTGTCAGGAAGGGCATCCGGCTGTAAAAACCCTTGCCAAAACCAATATGGAATGAGCCGTAATAGGAAAATCAGTGGAGGCGGCTCATCCATAACGCCGAACCCTTATTAAAACGGGAGAAAGCTGAGAAAAAGAAGTAAGCCACACTTGACACACATTTTTTTCAAGGTTAAGAAGTACTATAATTCCTCCTGAGAAAAAAAAATGTATATACGACCTCCTCATACAGTGACCTTGTTAGGTTAGAAAACTCCATGCTATTTACTTGACAATACTAATAGTAACTGTGTGCATGTAGTATATGTAATGTACCAGTGGACAAACTATGAAAAGAAGTGATATATGTACGGCAACACAGTCAATGTTTTGGACAGAAGACAGTCACTCTGTCACTGCGGCACAAGACAGGTGTTGTCAGTACAGAGCTTTGTGTGTGTTATCTCCTTTTACAATATATCACCAATGGATTTTACGTGTGTTTATCTATCCACATCTGATAGACATTCCTGTGGACAACCACACTCACAGTAATAGCAGTAATATGAAAAAATAAAACAAGTAACAATAATAAGAAAGATAATAATGATAAAAACAATGATAATATTCGATAATAGCAACAATAATAATGATAACTTTCATAACAACGATGATATTCGATAATAATAATAACAATAAGGATAATAATAATTCCGGTAAGGATATGATAATATCAATAATGATAATAATTGCGAAAAGGATCATGATAATATCAATAGTGATCATAATGATAACAATGACAACTAACATTAATATAAACAACAATGACCATGACAGTGACGATAATGATACTAGTTCAACAACCATAGATTTTAACATGACCGAAAAGATAACGGCAAAGATTGAGTCGTATTTCAGAGACTATGCCCATAAATCCTATCTGGGCATCTATTGGGCCCATAAAGGTGGTTTTCTACCGAATAAAGATAGTTACATGGGCGTATTGCTAATGGAACTGTCGATTTGTCCAGTGCCAAAGTACCCTTCCTTCAGCGTTACTTTTATATCGAACCAATGTTGTAGATTAATATACATCATTTAGAGCAGCGGTTCCCGAGCGTGTCTGGGTTGGTGTCCCGTTGGATTCGTATAGTGGATTTTTTTTTTTTTTTTTTTTTTGTATGCTGCAAATTGAAAATAAGGTTAACCACAAAGCTGTATTTCACATAAAATGTATTTTAGCAGTTTCGTAAAAAAAAAAAAAAAATAAAAACTGCTCCTAATGTTGTCCTGGCCACTTTCGGAACCAATGATTTAGATTATTATTTTTCAATTCTATTTCATGATTTTTTTTTTTCAGTGGATCAGCGAAGAAATTATTTATGTATGGGTTTAATGTTTATCATGTTTTTTAGAATAATTCTTCATTAATCTGTATCAATATGGCAGAGAAGAGTGTAGCGAGATCCTAGCTGGTACGAGTGAATTGGTATTTTAATTGTTGTCTTCTTGGCAACTCAATTGGCCTTAATTTCTTCTTGTAACATAGCTTAGACTAAATAGTTGTGTATAGCAATATATCCAGTGTCTTTCTATTAATACCTGGCCTATAAAACGTATTAATGGACAACATTATTGGTGATTTTTTTTTTTTTTTTTTTTTTTAGTTAATCAGTCCTAATCTATGCACTGTATACGATTGTCCTCGTCATGAGAACCGCCATCTAGAAATACGCCAAAAGAATCTCAAAACGCTTAATTAAAATAATTAACATAAAACTTGGTAGATAAAACTATTTATAGGTTCGCCATTTTTACCAATGGTCTAATGAAGCTCAATTATTCTAACAATCATCCATAAACAAGTATTTACCTTTGATAAGAAGTTCGTTATATGAAGGTTTCATCCAGCTGAATTTCATAAATTCATCTTTCACTTAAAACTATTTAGTGTCACTGGTCCAGCACGGGGGGGGGGGGGGGTTGTGCGATTTCGTTTTACACTCGAAGAAAAAATTACTCCATTCCCTTTCGTATATTTGCCTAAAGTTCAGCTACATACTTTAAAATTCACTTGGCATGAGTATTTCGCTCGAATCAAAAACACGCATTAGAAGCCACCGAAGAGCCAGACGTCCTTGCAGGCGCCTGAACCTGTACCTGTGCGATTTAAGTGCTGTGAAAAATGTATTCCAGAAGCAGCTACGTTTGATACGATTTGGCAGCATTGTGTCTTAGTAAGTTTTCTTACCTCAATACTAATGCTATCTACCGATTGAGTGCATAGTATACAAGTACTCTGAATGCACAGCTAAAAGCAAGTAAAATTTCATACACACACGTACTATTTTATCATTAATTCACTCCGTCTTAAAGCACTTACTCGAATCACGAAGCCCTTGGCACGGAGCGGCCACGAGGATTGTCTGTAATAACCAGGATGTTTACTAAGTGCTATTACGTCGGACTTGGCATGTAGTTTAGAGAACACCATCATATGCTATGTTGATGTCAGAACTCTGCATGGTTCTCTGCCTCCCTTTACTTCAAGAATACCTATTGCTGAATCCCCAGTATTTTTTTAAGGATTCCTTCATGGTGTCAAATCTCGGGTACGAAATTGAATTTTGTTTGCCATCCCTGCGCTACTTGCTAGACGTAGATTTTTTTTTTTTTTAACTCCTGTGTCTTGAAGTCAGTCAAAGGCCGGACTTTTCGAGGTTTTTCATTTGGAATTCTCTTGTTGAATTGTTCGAGATTGATATTATTGCTGTGTTTAGGAAAGGGGGAAATGTATATTTGCGTCATTTTTTAAGCAAATTTCTTTTCGCGTGCAGTCTTAGTAGAGATTATATGATATCGTGATATTTTATTTATGTTCATGTATTTTTGTTAATGTGCACATTTTTTTCATGTACAGTTATTTCTGTTTTTATTCATCTGATCAATTTCTGGACCTCATAACTACCATTCAGTCTTATAGCGGTCGCTGCTGTTGATGTTGATAATGATGATTATGATAATATGATAATAATAGTAAAAATAACAACTGCAATAACAATTTTAATCATCTCCTTATCATCGCCATCATCATCACAATACTAATCATAATAATGATGACAATGATTATTATTATAACAGTAACAACAGTAATGATGATCATGAAAATGATGATTGTGATGATATGATAATAATGATGTTAGTAATGATAATAATAAGGATGATGATAATGATAATAACGCTAATGATAATGATGTATAATTACATTAATGGTATTGATAATAGTGATAGTAATAGTAATATTGGTAACAATAATGATGATAATAAGGATAAAAATCATTATGATAATGGTAATGATTATGATAATAATAATAATGATAGTGATGAGAATAAGCAGATGTATGTATTAGTGGAATCATATATTACACTATTCACCATATACCATAGATAATAAGCATGTACTGTACTTTACATTAATGATCACTAGATGTACAGGTACCCCTATCGACGTATAAAAAATGTTACTTTGTTGCACTATATATTTTTAAGGGGGGTCAGCAGATGTATATGCGAGTGGAATTATAAATTACGCAATTCACCATAGTTTATAAGCATGTTACTGTACATCAGTGATCACTAGATGTACAGGTCCCCCTATCGACGTTATAGAACGTGTAGCTTCGTTGCAACATTTATTTCTCCTGTGTTGAACATTATATTTGACTTGGGCGGAAACTATTTCTCGAAACTCTTATAATTCGTATAGCAAGTTGTTATGATTGCAAATTGATACTTAGAAAACAACTGGTTCCCAAGGATAATTGTGAAAGATAATGTCATGAAACAACATCGTTTGGTCTGTTTATTTTTGTACATTTGTTGTTTCGTTTTCACTCCCAGTAATTTCTGAAACCGCCTTCCTTCCTGTGGTAATTCTGAACAATGAGTTGGGAGATTAAAAGATCAAATAAAATAAATAGATAAATGATAGAATAAATAAGTGAAGAAATAACACAGCTTGTTAGAAAAAGAAAGATTTAGGTTCCAAAACTCAAGGAATTTGAACCTATATTAACTATATTACATAGCATTGCGCACTATCATTGGGACTCAAACCATGCATATATACATAAATATATATATATATATATATATATATATTATATATAATATATTATTATATATATATATATATATATATATACATATATATATATATACATATATGTGTGTGTGCGGTGTGTGTGTGTGTGTGTGTGTGTTGTGTGTGTGTGTGTGTGTGTGTTGTGTGTGTGTGTGTGTGTGTGGTGTTGTGTGTGTGTGTGTGTGTGTGTGTGCTGTGTGTGTGTGTTGTCTTAAGAATCTATAGAACAATCTATTTTTACATACAAAAACAGAATGATTATACCCATACATACAGGGATCAAGCAGCCATTAGGAGTGAGTCTCATGTCTAGGAAATTCAGGAAATTCTCGTAAGGAATAACATACTCTTATAGGTCAATCTATAGGGGGCGGGGCGCACACTTTCTCGAGAATCTGAAGGGTGTGGTCACCAAACACTTTCCTGGAGAGACGCCCATCCATTTCCCCCCCGCCCCCCCTACTCAACTCCTTCTTCCTATCCTCTTGTCTTCACCATCATTCTATTCTCTTCACCCCCCCCCTACCTATCCCTTTCACCCCCCTCTCCGATCCATCTTCACGTCCCTCCAACCCATCCTCTTCCCTTCCTCCCTACCCATCCTCTTAGCCCTCCCCCCCCTCCCTTACACATCCTCGTCACTTTCCCCTAGCAATATTTCACAAATGTCCCTCCCTGACAATTTATTATATTCTTTGATGCACGTCTACATCTAGCTTTTTTTCTTTTTTTTACATTTTATAGGGACGTTTTTGAGAAAGAGAAAAGGACGCGTAAGGAAATAGATTAACAATTAATCGCGCTCACTTAAAATAGTAATAACCTTGCGCTAACTTAAAATGATAATATTAATAACCTCGTGCTCACTTTCATTTACAAAATACTCTAGCTTGGATTAGACAGATGACTTTGGTTATTACTCCTTATGCACATACCCAGTTTTGCTTTGTTTTTCTATAAGGGAAAGAACTGAAGGAAAAGCAATGTGCTTCCATAAAGAGATAGATACAAAAAGAAATAAGAAAAATAAAGTTTAAAAGAGTACGATCTAGAATATCAGCTGGTGACCAATAAAGGCTTCTTAGTGGATCACAGTTTTTCAGTTCTGATCGGAAATCGGTGTTTATTTCCTTAGATTAATTAAAATCCTTTTGGAACTAGAATCTTATTAAATCAAAGTCTAAAAGTTGGTGTGTATGACATTAATTGCTAGAATTCAGAAGTAACATTTTATGAGTTTTAAGATTGTAAAAAAGTATACAGTACCTTTATACAATCTTAAGATTCTGTTTCTTCGAAGAAATTTTCATAACAAAATCGAAATTATGTTTGTAAGAAATATTATTCCGTCGAAATGTTAATCTTGTATTTCTCTGTTAGAAACATACTTCAAACCAGTGTTTAGGCTTTTTTTTTTTTTTTACAACATTACTCAAAGAAGAAAATGGTTATGGATTTAGTTACTTTGCATATGCTATCTATACCATCGTTAGAAAAAAAAACTGGTTAGTATGCCTTGTATTTGTGGAGTTACTTGTTCGTTTCCGTCAACACATATCGAATGTTTTCTTAGGTAATCAGGCTTATTTTCCCGCTCTCGCTCGTTTTGATATCGTATCACTGGGAGTGTTATCAGTATCCTATTTTTTCGTAAAAGTTTGACGTTGTTGTTGTTTTTTCTTTCTTTCTTTCTTTCTTTTTTTTATGTTTCTACTTTTATCTATGCATGTTCTGGTCTTTATTTGTTTGCTCTCTACTTACCGAACTGGGATGGGATCCGACAGCAGATGAGAATGGGAGCGACAGAAAGAGAGAGAGAGAGAGAAGGAGAAAGAAAGAAAAATAGAAAGAAAGAAAGAAAGAAAGAAGGAAAGAAAAAAAAAAAAAAAGAAAGAAGAGAAAGAAAAGGAGAAGAGAAAGAGAGAGAGGGGGAGGGAGAGGGAGAGGAGAGAAGAGAAGAGGAGAGAGGAAAGAGAGAGAAGAGAGAAAAAGAAAGAGAAGAGAGAAGAGAGAAAAAGAAGAAAGAAAGAGAGGGGGGGAGGGAGAGAGAGAGAGAGAGAGGAGAGAGAGAGAGAGGAAGGAGAGGGGGGGGAGGGAGAGAGAGAGAGAGAGAATTATGTGCGTAAACAGGAAGGTCTTCAGCGATACCGTGAAAATAACAAGGAGGTTCTTTCCGGGAGAACATTCAAAAAGTTCGTGCCTTAGTGTCGTTTTGCTAACCTTTGGTATTGGGTCGTGCATTGTATATTGTGTATTGTATTATAGGTGTGTATTGGTATTGGGTCGTGTCAAAGGTTACCTCAAGTACGTGTAACTTGGGATAAATCTGTTGTAAAGAGGAAAATATCGTAAATAGAATGAAAGTTTTTGTGTTTTGAAATCTATTCCGAAAAGTAACCTTGTGTTGATCAATAAACCCCGTCCCCTTCGCTCTTTTCTTCAAGTAGTGCAATATTCTACTTATAAAATGCATGTATAACATTTTTATGAAATAGGCTTTATATCCTCACCAATTCTCCTTTTCTTTTTAGTAGTGTTTTAATAACGTTTCTCGTGATACATGATCTGAATCGCTCGAATAATTTGAGTTCTGTGAAGTTTTTGGGAATCATTTAGTTTAACAGTGGAGTGGATACTTCATTTTTTCTTTATGTTACATCTATATATTAGATTTCTCTCTCTCTCCTCTCCCTCTTCCTCTTCCTCTTCCTCTTCCTCTTCCTCTTCCTCTTCCTCTTCCCTCTTCTCTCTCTCTCTCTCTCTCTCTCTCTCTCTCTCTCTCTCTCTCTCTCTCTCTCTCTCTCCTCTCTCTCTTTCTCTTTCTCTTCTCTCCCTCCCTCTCTCCCTCTCCCCTCTCCCTCTCCCTCTCCCTCTCCTTCCCTCTCCCTCTCCCTCTCCCTCTCCCTCTCCCTCTCCCTCTCCCTCTTCTTCTCCTTCTCCCTCTCCCTCTCCCTACCATACGATATTATACTAAAAACAGTTGCTTCAAAAGTAAAGATGAAGTGATAAGCCTATTCTTTCCCCTAAAAGCCTACCAATGCGAGATGCGGCCGCCGTTACTGGTCTTCTGCCTCGCTTCGTTGCCCTTCTGTTTGGCCGCCGATGTCCCTGGCTGTCAACACGACTCCTGCACGACATGCATTCGCCATCCGACTTGCGTTTGGTGCTACGAGGTGATTCGATCCTTTATGTGGTTTAACCAGTATATATATATATATATATATATATATATATAATATATAATATATATATATATATATATATATATATAATATTTATTTATATATATATATATATATATATATATATATATATGTGTGTGTGTGTGTGTGTTGTGTTGTGTGTGTGTGTGTGTGTGTGTGTGTGTGTGTGTGTGTTGTGTGTTGTGTGTGTGTGTGCGTGTGCGTGCGTCCGTGTGCGTGCGTGCAGAGGGAGATGGAGAGGAAGATCCCCAGTCACCCTCTCCCCAACGCTAATCCCTGACGCCCACCGCCCCAGCCGAACAACCGAACCGCCCGGCCGCGCTGCAGGAGCAGGGAACGCGCTGACTTCCCTGCCGTGTGTCATGGTGAGAAGAGCGACCCGCAAAATGCCTACGGCGTGGTCAGGGATGAGCCTCTGTCTGCCGATGGCGACGTCGAGAACATTCTACAGATGAGTCCGCAAGAGGTTAACCTGACAGTCAGAATCAGTGAGTTTAAGGACACTTAATGTACATGTTCTCTTGTTTGTGGCGAAGGACAGTTGTACTTCTTACTCACTAAATTGCATATGTATATGTATCTTTACCTCTGCTATATTTATGATCCAGAGGCCTTTGTAGTTTTGTCAGGGTAAATTTGATTAATGACAGATAGCCATGGAGCAGTTAAATTATACGGTAGTATTACTATCAGTGTAGCTTTCATTACTTAAATAGATAATGAAAATAGTACTTGAACTAGCTTAGTCACATTCATTTTCAAATCGTTCCAACAATATTGTATTTACATCAGTGATCCTGTCGTTAAATCTCTTCTTATTACTATTATCAACAAAAGTGTCAAAAAGAATACGCCATATTGTAATTAGTTTGCGTTATTAACAAAATACTTTAGTTGATCTTTGGAAATCTTAGGCTGTGTTGCATTTTTGCAATGCCCTAACTGTATATTTAAATACAGCATCCATCTTTTTTATTGATTTAGTGATCCATATAATGTGAACACTCCTCACTCCTCAACGAGCAAAAGATAAAATGTATATAATTCTTTAAAGCTTGTCCGATTTCCAGTAGGTATTATTGCAAGGCCTGTAACCATAATTCTGAAAATTGTGTCGAATGTTTACGTGTTTCGCTTGTCAGAGGAAACCTTCAACATATCCCTGACGTACAAACACATGGCGAATTACCCAGCTGATATCTACTACATGATGGATGGATCTAAGTCAATGGCAGACGATAAGGACATGTTGCATTCGGTCGGGAAAGAGCTGGCAGAAGGAATGAAGAAGATTACCAGTAACTTGCAACTTGGCTTTGGTATCTTCGTCGACAAGCCAGTGCTGCCTTACGTTTCCACTATGTCGAAGTGAGCCAATTAATTTGATATTTATGGTTTGTTTGTAACATTTTTATAGTAGTTCTTGTACTATCTCTGATTACGTAATACTGTGTTCATAGTGCAATATACGTGTGAGTGTATTTCATTAAAGTTAATATTTCCTCCAGAAACGAAGCAGCCTACAGTTTCAAGAATGTTCTTCCACTCACCAGCAATACCTCAGCTTTCACAGTGAGTTAGATATCTGTGTCTCTTTGCATAACAGCGTAATCCTGTAACTAGCTGTCGGCTGTCGATGGCGCTTGCAGCCGGACTTACTCACTGAATCCGGTCAGCTTTGGGGCCTGGAAGTGGAGATTCTTAGTGATTGGAAGTTGAAATTACAAGATAAACCGACTCTATTCGTGTAACTAGCTGATCAGTGTTATACCATCAATACCGTAATATAGGCCTAGAAAATCTAGCTAAAAGCCATAGATATTACCATATCGCTCAAACCTTTTACAGTACAGCACTGTGTAGCATGTATAATGTATTATTTTTGATAATACACCCACGGCAACAACGATATGTAGATTGGCACTTCGGGAAACGATAATATCACGTTAAGTCCAAATAACCACAGGACAATGCTCAATCCTTAGCACCCGCTATAGATGGCATAGTAACAAATTGAGCAATATGATTGTTAAGAATGAAATGACCTTTACTGAAGCCTCGAGGTCATGGTATAACTTCATGTGGAAGCGTCATTAATCATTCACAAATCCCATTGATAGTAGTATTTCTGAAATCTTTCTTAGTACAGAGAAAAAAATATAATTATTTTGATGAAAATATATACTTTTATTTGCCAGGACTTGGCAAAGTTCGTTTCATTGTTATATATACATATACATACATACATACATACATATATATATAATATATATATATTATATATAATATATTATTTATATATATATATGAATATATGTATGTATGTGTATATATAACTTACGCCAGCCTCCTGTTGATCGTTATAATCACGGATCCTTAATACCTGAAGTGAAACAAGTAGATGCAAGAACAATCCTAAATATCAGATAATAATGTTCGCTGTATCTAAACATAGGTTAAATAAGTAATGAACATCATTTATTAGGATAGATACATATGCCTTTGATGGAATACCACCGATGGTTCTGGTATTTTCTCCGGTACGGTATAATTTGTAGTACAACGATTATTCTCAGTAGGGTTTGACTAGTTTTAAACTTAAAAACCTTTTCATATAGGCACGAACCTTTGACCATTACCATTTTGATTGTGGCAATGTCAAATACTAAATGCCTATCAGTAATATTTATAACTGGTCTTTGCGCTGATAATTCGTCATCCACATGCCCTTCCTGATTCATTTTAAACAGCTGATCTCCCTTTCTTCTTTCTCACAGGAAGAGGTCAAGCGAGCGGAGGGCGCCACCAACCAGGACTTCCCTGAGGGCGGATTCGATGGCCTCATGCAAGCCATAGTGTGTGAAAAGGACATCAAGTGGCGCAATGCCAGTGTCCGGGTGATCTTTTTCTCCACAGACGCTGGGTTCCACTTCGCGGGGACGGGAAGGTAAGCGGGAAGGGTGAGAATGGTCGAAGGTCTCCATGGGGAATAGTTTCTTCTTCTTATTATTATTATTCCGTATTGTCCTTAAATCTTTGCTAAAAGAGAACTTACTATAGGAACAGTTATTTACTTTGGGTTGGGATATTCAAGATATTTTACCTGCATGCAAATGATTCGGCCAGTCTGGGCTTCCACCAATTTGCCAGACACTGGGTTAACAGAAGATGATGCTATGGAACGAGTACAGTTTCTTTGCTTAACTGTTTCTCTATAATTAACTGATAATTTGACTATTTAATGGTTGTCTGATTCGTTCCATATTTTTGTCTGCTCATACAATTTCAGTGTATTACAGGGAATTGACCCTTAAAGCATTATTAAAAGATATGGTATTGCCAATCTTCCACCTTTTGATATCAGCCCTCTTCGAAAAATCCTTCTCAGCTGTAATTAATGAACCTACTCCTGGCATTTTCACTATTAAGTGTAGTTTTCCACCTCACCTTCCTCTGTTCATGACTTTTCGACTGTTTTATGTATGTGCGGGGTTGACACATCCTGACTTTTTTCTGGAGAATATCAGTTAATGGCATTTTGTTCTGCCTTCTGTTTTATTAGTGTCATTTTTTTTCTTTAAAACATCACTTGCGAGGAAGGAAATGAAAAATAAGCCCTTTCACTACTTGCTGGAATTTATGGCAGTCATTTCAAGTTTAGCTTGTCTCAAAATTATTACATATCTTTGAGTTTCCTCTTTATTTTTGGAGAGAAAACTGATATGCCCATTATAGAAGAGATAATTACCTTATATATCATTATGTACATTACATTCTTGAAATAACCACCTGGTAAACCCGAGTATTGTGATCATATACGTCATAACCCATTGATATAGCTGGAGAACTTTGAAAAATATGAAATGATCTGTGTAGACTGAGACGCAATACCACGAAGAAAGATTGATTAAGTAGATTTTTTATTAAATATCTAAAAGAATTTATTAAATTAGCATTAAGGATAGCTAATTCATACATTTATTTCCATTTAGTTGGCTGGTATTGTAACACCCAACGACGAGCGCTGCCACCTCGACGGCAACGAGCTCAGAAAAGCCCACCTCTACGACTTCCCTTCGGTCGCCCAGGTAATATGCGCGTGAAGGGTTATGGGTGCGAATGGCAGTGCCACAGCGTAAATTCACGATTCCCTTCCATTCATTTTTCTCTACATTCGACACAATGAACTGTCCAATGGATGTCGAATTGGAGAAAATGAAGCAGGAGTTGAGAGCCTATGGCCACTCAAATGCTTCAAGATCAAAGGAAATGATTCAACACAGCTATGAACACTGCCAAATGAAAATGGCGAAAGATGTATTGATATCGAATATGGTTGCGAAATAACCAGCACATGTTGATGTGCCAAAGACGTGCTAGTATTTCGCTTCTACATCTGCACAACGACCATGTTTATGCACTAGAATTTTTTTCTCTCTCTCTTCTCGTTTTGGGTACATTCACTGTGTCTCCCCTTCCGGCAGATCAACAAGATGGCGAAACTCCACAGAATCAACCTGGTCTTCGCCATCACAGCCGAACAGGAGCCGCTCTACGCCCGCCTGTCACAGCACATAGAGGGCGCGACTTCTGGCGTGCTGGCCAGCGACTCGTCTAATGTGGTCGACCTCCTCACCAGCAGTCTTAAGGTCTGTTGATAACTCATTGTGCATGCCACCATTATGTGGTATTTGAGGCACTGTACTTTATTGCATTGAAATGCTAAATTCACAGAATATTTGTTCATTGGCCAGGCATTACTTACGATGCCACATGTTATGTCAATGAAAGCTATTTATACTATCAGTTAATCTCTCATTCACCAACAGGACATCATAAGCAAGGTGGAACTGACACAGCGAGA